CTGCTGCAGGTGTTGGTGGCCTGTCTGATTTGTCCAGCCTGATCCATGCGTAAGTAAGAACCGCATAGTTTAAAATGTTTCCCTTGTAGAAGGATCATTGTGCAGGATCTATTTAAAATTGATAGTGTCAAGCCAATTGTACCGTGGGTTGTCCTCACTGGCTGCCTGATTATTATTAAAATTAATAATTTGGAAGACATATTTTCCACTATGTTGTGTGCTTTGTAGATTTCTATCCACTGGAATGACTGAACTGTTTGCTCATTTTCACATTCTGGTTTCTCATGCACTGTTTACTTTCCAAATGCTACTTATAAAAAAAACTTACTTAAATCTTTTAAGTACTCCTACACGTGCTTTCAAATTGTGTTGATAATTTCACTGTCTGATATCCCAGACACTAGTTAGAAAAGCTAAATGCACTTAGCTTCTGTTGCCACAAGTTCTGCTCTGGCATCCCTGCATTTAGGCAAGGAAGGCTTCAGGGAACTCCATATAGTGAGAAGAAGCTTTTACAAAACCCAGGATCTAAGTCTTTTTATAGTGTAACAATGATAATCCGTCTGGAAGAGTGCAGAAAAATATGCCATTTGCTTATATGGCAAGACCTCTTAAAGAATATACGGTTTAACATTTTGGAATGGATCCCCTTAAAAAGAAGGGAGCAAGTCACTGGAGCAGATTTGTTGATAAATTTTAGTTTTACCAAGTAAGGTAATAATTTTTCCACCATGTTACCAAGCAGAAGTAATAGTCCAAGAGAATGAAAATTAAGATCTGATGATAATCCTTTTTGGATAGATTTTAAGTAGATAAAGTCATAATACCATAAATATCTTGATTGAGACATTACATCAAATTCTTTACTTCCATATAATGAACCTTTTCAGTTGTATTGGGATATCCTGCTTTCTTACAAATGCTGCTTGTCATTTTTTTGCACTTGTTGATTTTACTTGAAACTGTTCAACACAGGGGACAGCAGTTTGCACAACAGATACAGCAGCAGAATCCAGAGCTCATAGAACAACTGAGAAACCATGTCCGGAGCAGATCTTTCAGTGGCAGCACTGAAGAGCATTCCTGACTTACAGGAGGCATGTGAATTGGAATGGCATATAACCCCAAAATGCATACCATAGTTAGTAGCAAAAGCACCATTGTAACTTGAATATTCTGCTTGAATAGAAGACAGAAAATTCTTTGTGCGTGTTTGCAAACAAGAACAAATCTGTTAAACAGATCTATTGCACATAACTTGGAACGTATCATTTATGTATAGTTACTCCTCTGAAAATTATTACAGCAAATAGGTGGTTTATTAAAATCCCAAAGTAAAAGTAATTTTCAGTATGTGCATTAGATTGATCTCCAGGGCTATTAGGTGGGGAGGAGCTTTGTAGTGGACTGATCTTGCACAACAGCTTTATTTAAAATCCTAGTGTAAAAGGAAAGTCATGGTCAAAATCATATGACTGTACTCCCTGTCAAATACTGAAACACTTGGCCCAGCTGATGTGCCCTTTCATAATGAACTTAAGTCCGTGTTGGAGTATAGTGTGTACTTAAAACTAATGCCTGAAAGTCTATCTACGCCTGTGAAGGGGCCAACATTAGTAACATGAAATATTTTTCAATTTCTTTGGGCAGAAGGGATGGAAATGGTTGCATAAGAGGGAGTACCACAAATTGTAGAGAAAGAGAAGACACTAATCCTGAGTAGGATAATACACTAAAACCAAAATGAAACTTGGCTTGGGAAAGGAAAGAACAATAAGAAGTTTTAGGCTTTTCTACTGCCATGGATACCCTCAGATCATGATGGTAGCCCTGGAGGTCCGTGTTCTGGCACTGTTTTCCTAGGCATGGCAAACTGTATTACATTCTGTATGTATGCAGTATTTAATATAAGCTTAAAATTCTTAACTATAATAAGCTAAAACTGATCCTGTGACAAGTGACAAGTAACTAGTACTGAAAATTTATCAAAAAACAATGGCCTTAGAAGGATTTTGTTTCTTGTGTGGAAAATCACTGGCTTAAACAATTAGAATTTGTTTTTTTCACACATATCTCTATTAAGTGATAGTTATATGGCCATGTTAAAAGATTCTTCCACTCTGCAGTGTTTCTGTTCCTACCCTGGCTTTTCTTGCTCAGTTGATCTTACTCTCTCAGAGACCACTGCTTATCTGTATTTTTATGTTAACTTTTTAAAATTCTGCTTACTGTTCACACTGCTTTCTAGCACAACCTACACACTTCTACTCCAGGGAGATTCTCAATGCTCCCTCTTCTTTGTATATCAAAACTAATTTGAGAAGCCTGCTTTTATTCCTAAGACAAAGCGATCTCTGCTGGCCAGTTAGGCTGGAGAAGGTATGTGGAGGAGTAGCAATAGACCAAATGAAGGAACTCCTGGACCCCAGATATTTATCAGATTCATCTTGTGGTCAAAAAAAAGAGCACCTCACATAGAAGCAAATGCAAAATTTGGGGCTAAGTCATGTACTTAACTCTGACAGATGCTCATGTGCATCTATTGAATGAGTCTTCCCCTGCTAAAATGTGGGGGAAATGCAGCTGGTTCCAAGGAGAAATGAAAAGAATTGGAGAAAACACAAAAATAGCAAACCTGTATTACCATCTCTTGAATAAAAAGGTAAAGCTTAATAAAGCAACTTAAGTTTAAGATGCTTCGTACTTTATTCAATACAGCTTACCTATACACAGCATTAAAAATGCTTTTAAAAAGTCTCTCTCTGTGTAAGTTGCTGCAACTGCCTTTTGAGGCTCTAGGATAGCTGGAAATGTATTTAATGTAAAGCTTAAGTAACAGGTTCTGGTTAACATCTCATGACAAAGAAGGAAAACCCTAACAGGATCTTTTTTTTCAGAGGTAGTTCAGATCCTGAATCTAATTCAGTAAAGAAAACTGTTAGTTCAGTTAACATGTAATAGGACAGGATCCCATTTACCAAAAACATGGATGGAGACTTTAGGTGGTCTACAACTACTGTACAGACATTGCTTGGAGTAGCATATTGTGTCAGGACTGAAGCATTCCTCCTAGCATTTCTCCAGTTAAACTCTGTGGTTCCTCTTAGTTCTCACTTTTATATTTTCAGCTGCTCAAAATAAGTTCTACTCACTTTGATAAGGGGATCAAATAAATCCAGAGTGGGTGGACTGGACAGCACCGCAGCATCTCCCACACTCAATTTATCCTTACTTGGTGACAGCAGTCTTTGTACTGTCCGTTATTTTTCTACTTTAAGAGAGAAGGAGTGTCAAGAACCTCTTGAGAGTTCCTCAGGAACTACAAAATACGATAGTACTCAAAGACTGGTGTAGAAACTGTACTGTGAAGTACAAGCCCTATAGCTTACTGGATTTATGGAAGAACTGTCCCCAAGGATAAATCGAGTGACGCATCAGTTAGTCATCTGAAAACTACTCTTGAAGATCATCTTTACAGAGTGGTAACTTTCACATACTACAATACTGTCATGTTTAGGTTTTGCTCCAATACTGGTAATATGTAACCAGAGTATTTATTAAAACATTGATGGCATTAGCTAACCCTTTAGGACTGTGCTACAACTGGCACAATACTTGTAAACATTCTTTGTTTCTTGTATATTCACAGAAGGGGCTTTATAGCCTAAATAAAAAACAGTGAAACCAATAATGGGAGCTGTCATTTCGTGCTTTTCCATTTGAAACAGGAACAGTGGGATCATTTATGCTAACGTCTGTTTTGCCTTGAAAAGGCTAGATTGTTTCACAGAGTCATGCAATATGTCTTAATCACAGGGTAAGGAACAAATCTTTTCCTGTGTAGTAACTGCACTTTATTTTGCACTAAAATTTTTCATCCTGATAGATCAAGTGGTAAATCACACCCCCTGTAAATACCGCTTTAAGATCAATTGCAGTTTATCATTCAACTGAGCAAATAGGTTCCATCACCATTTAAGTGTGATAATGTTAGAAAAGAAAATGTTTTGCACTGAAATTGTGAACACCTGTAACCTGCTTGCATGGAATTATATTCTTCTAATTATGCTTGATCATAAAGACACCTAATGAAATATTCAGCTTAGAAATTGTTTCAGTTCCACTTTGCTTTTGTAACAAGTACAATCACTCATGCATACAGAGAAAGAACAAAGTCTGCAGCTTTGGATTCAACTACAGAAAGTCATACTGGCAAAATGCAACTTGTCTACCATTTCTGTATCTTTCCTACCTCTTTTTATCATATGGTTACATCTTCAACTTGTGTCAGTTTAACTTGAAAATAGATTATAAATAAAGTTACGTACATTTTTTGTCTGGATAGTTGTGATTTTACTGTTTTAAATTGTTGATGTATCTAAAGTAACAGGTAATCTAGATTATTTAAAATACCTGTTTGTTGGTTGCTCTGCATTTATTAGACATGTGGGATTATAGTTTTTTGTTCTGGTTTAGTGTTTTCCCCTGTATGGACTCATTCCCTCAATTTAGTAAACTAGTCCTGAATGTATCCGATATTTTAAAATTGAATTCTACACTTAAAAGATTTTATAAACAGGAAAGCCTGAAGTAAAATACTGTCAAAACTGACTAAGGTTGCTAAGTGCCAAAATGGTAGCTGAGAAATACGACAAGTCAGTAAGTAGGATTTTCAACAGCCTCTACCAGACTCTAGTTCTTCTGGCTGTGCAGGTACCACGCAAATGCCATGCCAGGCACTCTGGAGTGTTTCTTTTAGGGGTTTGGATTCCAGGAATTGTCTGTGAAAGCTCAGTTCCTTGAAGTTGTTCTGAAGGAGTTTTGTCACAACCACAATTTGAAAACCATTTAAATGTTTTTAAACTAACTAAAAGAACAAACATAAGTACAAATATATTAAGTACTACTACAATAGTGCTACTATTTCACATCAATCTCACCCTACTGCCTTGAGGTGATGTTAATGCAATACAATTTGCTAGAGCTACACTTTTTTCAATGGCTTTATTTCTAGTAAAATGCATATGCATGTTTTTAAAACATATTAAAACATTCAAACAATGCACAGAGAATTTAAATAAGCGTACTTGTTTGTGTAGATATATAGGGATTTGGTTTTGTTTGTACACATTTTAATATGATTCAGCTGCAAAGACATCAATAAGTTGGTCCAAAAAAAAAAAAAAAAGCCCAGCAGAAATACATAGGTTTTTCTTCAGCTTTGTTTCACTTCTGAAGAAACTACACAGACTTGTGCAATATCATCATATTCATATGTTCTCTTCAAAAACGTGTCTGTAAGTCTTAAACCAGAGACACTCTAGAAAGGGAAAATATTATAAGAGTTGTTAATAGAAAGAATTGCCATAAAACAACTATTTTGTAACAAAACTATGCTATAAAGACTTACCTGCAAACCCTGAACTGAAGACATCAATGTAAGTGCAAGATGGAGGGATGAGCTTGGGTGCAACTTTCCAAGTTGCCTTCCTGAAACTCCACACCAATGGATGGAATTAGTATTGCACATCTCTAAAACCAGATCCATAGTCCTTTCACTGCTAGAAGAAATTGAAAAAAAGAATAAACCTGTGGGCTTTTTTTAACCATTTAAGGACTGCAAAACATATAAAATTTACTACTATTATGGTAACTATTTATCACGTGTTTATCAATAATTGCAAAGTGGCAAGCAAGATTTGCTGCATCGTGCAGTAATTTAGTTGAATATAGCTTTGTGCTCGGTTTAACAACACTGGAGAGCATCATACTGCTCATATTTGGGATAGAGTACAACATTTTTATGAGATGTATCTGTAGACTAGGTACATGTTTTAGTCCCTGGCTTCAATTTCTATTTAGAATTACTTTATTTAAATGTCACTGTTGCAACCCGCTTATCAAGGCTACCACAGATCCTAGCGTAAAGCCAGATCAAGTGAGAACACAAATAAATACACACAAAAGATTGTGGTGACAAGGTTTAGGAGGCATTCCAGCAGTTCTGCTGAAATAGTAGGAAGAAATCAAACAAATGGCATCATCTATTCTGATAAAATTACTTGTAGTTAAAAAAATACTACATATGCACTCATTTTGTTATTAGTTTAACTAAGCTGATGTTCAGTGTAAGTACAGGGTGCAACTGAATTCCACTAGAGAGTTTTGGCAATCTCCCCATTCAAATAGTATCAGTGGATAATGATGGAAGCACTTTTTGTTTCTTTGAGGTTTTTAATTTTTAAATTTTTAAATAACTGTAATCCAAAAGATGTGTTCCAAGTAGTTTCATGTTGCTACAACTCATAGTAAAGTCTAGGTGTGAGTTCTTTAAGGAGAAAATACTGAAAAATTAAACAAAGCCAGCTACAACTTACCCACTCAGGAAAAAGCACATGAATTGCATGACATCATTACCTGCAATTTGTTATTTTACATGTGATGTCAAAAGGTTCTTCCAAGTTTACGGTGTCTGGTATTGTCTCCAAAGAAAGCCTTACGTCGCCATAACCAGGAGCCTGAGAAGATACAAGAACATACATGATCAGATTCTGGATAGTAAAGCTGAAGTTTTTACTACTCAAGTTTTCATTTACTGCAACTAGCTTGGAATAAGAGAATTTTGAAGACAGATTGACTTCATGCTTTTGATTTGTACCCAAGTCACAGGAGCGTTCCATCCACTACCAACTACCACTTTCTTGATAGGCTTAACAAGTTGTAAGGCAAAGATGATCTTTGTTACTAAGTTTTTCAGAGTTCACATCCTTAAAGTTTTAATACCTGTGTACAGTTCCTGAAAAGCTCAGCTTTATTCTGAGACCTCTCTGTTAGACAGGTAACAGATTTACTATGCATAACAGAAGTATAGTTTTCCTGCATAAACTTGCCACTATTTCACATCCTAAGAAATAAGAAATTGTTTATTCTTGCCATTTCAGTCCTCCAAGTCTCTGCCACCAGTTAGAAAGGCCCATTATATGAACACCTGTCAAACTATCCAATTCCGTCCTGAGGTGAACAAACAATATTTCACCTGGTCACTTAAAAAACCTATGTCAAGTATCCTAGTCACTACCAACTGGTGATGATCAAAATGGTAATCTGCAGACAAAAAGCTGTAGATTTTCATTCTCCACAAATGACAAGTTGGAAGGAAAAGCAAGGGAAAAATTTATCCTGCCTGACAAGGCTTAATTTTCACATGTTCCAATTCTGCTGATAAAAGGACACTGTACTTCTGAGGAGGTCCAGAAAGACTCTAGACCAGATGAGAAACCTAAGTTTGGAACCTTTCAAGAAAGAAAAGTAATTTTCTAGCACTGGGAAAAGGCAGATATTTCCAGCTCTGTTAGTTGACAGGAAGGAATCTGCTGGAAACATTATGCCAAGTTCCCTCAACAATGAGTAGTTTGCCATAACATTAGAAGCTTTGTTTAAGAGAGAGGTATTAAGAAAAAAAAACACAACAAAAGCAGTATTTTATATAATAAACTTAGCAGCAGTTGAGCAAATCAAGACAATATCCGAGCAGATGAACAAGCCTAAACCAGTACATACCTGTTGGCCTTAACAATGAGTTACCTGCAAGAACTGATGGCTAGAGGTAAAGGGAAAGGCATGTTATGTGCCAGAAAAAAAATTATCAAGAAAACATAAAATGTTGCCATTCACATGTCCAAAAGGAAAATAATGTTTTTATTTGGCTACAGGAATAGTGTTTTTTCCAGACTTCACTGACCAAATGTATTAAATAACTTCATAATTTCTAATTAAGTATGTCTATAAATATGAAATCAGAATGAGATCAGGATGTTTTCCTTCAAGTCATGAAATTGTTCATTGAGTTGCCTTAAAAATGGATACTAAGTTAAATTGATACTTAAGTTACACTTACCATTCTTTGGAGCTGGCTAGTTTGCAGCCTTCCTCGTTCACCCAGGTTAGTTTTCCATACAATGTCTAGTTTACCAATCACTGTTACACCTTTTATTACTCCAGCTTTCTCTGCAAATTCTTTCTTTGGTTTTAGGCAGTACAAATATTGACGTGTATCCATAGGTTGTAAGTAATTCCTTGAGCCAAAAGTAGACTCACTAAAAAAACCACAACATTGTGTCTTAATTTAAACAGTTTTTTTAGAAAAGACTGAAGAACCCAAGCTTTTTCACCATCCCTCACCAGTCTTAGTCTGTGTGTGTGTATTTTACTCATGGCAAAACAAATTTTTTGTGTGTTTTCACAACAGAAAATAGTTCTACAACTTCAGTAGCAGTATCAAGGACCAAGGAAAAAAAAAAATCTGAGCCAGAGAACTGAAATGGAAATCCACTTTGCTACATTATAATTTATTATAAGATACCATAGCATTTAAATATGCAGATAATTTTACTTCTGCCATTTAGTTCCCTTCCAGTAAATCTCCAGTGTAATAAACCTAGGATTCTTGTTCAGGACAAGAACCATTACAGCAGATGCAAACACTTAGTAAGAAAAATGCTCAGTGACACTGTGGGTGAACCCTTCAACACGCAAGGAGAAGGCAAAATTTTCACTTCAGCCCCCACTGCAGAAGCACCCAAACATTTCCTTCAAAAACCCAAGAAACTGCAAAGTACAAACAGCCAAAGTTAGCTTCCATGCAGACATCACAAGATGTTTTATATCCACAAGTTTCCAGAACACAGCAAAAAAATTCTTCTAATATTTGGCATTATACTAATTGATACTAAATGACATTTAATTTATTGCAGCATGACAGACTTCTATATTCTAAGATCCCACAGGGGGATTCCACTGATTCACCTTGTCTGGCTAAATCATGATTGGAACAATTGAAAGCAATCACCACTCTGCTAGAAGAAAGCAAGGACAAGCCAGACGGGTCTAATGTGGATACACACATCGAGTCAGAACCAGATGTGGGCTACATTTTATAAAAGAAATAATGAAGAAGTAGTATGTTTTCATGTTACCATGCCAACCATATTACCAGTTACTTGAGGATTAAGCTGGGGATTTCTCTACAGGTAGAATTACAAAGTTTTAACAATAGTTTCTGTTAAAAGAAAATTAACACCTTTTCCAGCTGAACACAGAACAGGAATTTGATCTTCTTAATCAAGCAAAGAACTACAATGCTTCCATTACAGACAACTCACTAACTGTAATGCTTACCTCAATAAATTACAATTCAATAGTTTCAAAGTGAAATATTCAAACTTCAAGCATACCTTTCACCTGCTGTGTCAACTGTGTTCAGTTCTGCAACACTGTACATCATAGATGGCTCTAAAGAAACCTTCTCCATAAACATTGGAGAGGTGGTGATATTCTGAATTTGAGCTTCCAGAAACACTTCATCTGTCTGAAAAAAACGAAAAAGTGCAAATTCATGAAAATGCTATTAGTTTCTTTAAAAAGAGCAGACAGTCCTATTGTTAAAAAAAAAAAAGTCATGTGTTTAGTTCATGCCTGCAAATCAAATCAATTAATGCAAGAAAAAACCTTAATCCCAGTAACAATAGGAGCAAAAGTGTTAGTCAACAGGTATCTCGCCAAACAATGGATGTGGGATAATTTTGCTATGTTCTAGCTATTGCTTATTTTGTAATGCATTAGATTACCACTTAAAGACTTTTATCAACTCAATTGCAACTCAATTTTAAATCAAAATTATTAAATAATTAAAAAAAATAGAGTAAATGGTATGGAACTGCAGTGCACAACGACATGCCATGCTGGATTACTAGTGCATCAAGCTGTATTAAAAAAATGTGTGTTTTTCTTTAACTGAAGCCAAGGTACATGCTGAGATTTGTTTATCATTATGAAACATTGATGTACTGGCTAAAAGGAAAAAACAGCCTCCTTTTTCACTCAGCTGCATCATGCCATTGATTATTAATATTATATGCATCCAACTAGTCAACTGGTGCTCTCCCTTCAAAACAGCCTATAAAACATATATTTTAAATGAAACTAATGCCTGAATATGGTATATAAGGGCTGATTCTAGCAGAAAAATGAGCATGAAACTGAGGTAGTTTTGCCTTATTGCTTCTGTGGAGTTGCAGACCAGTGAAGTCACTTTGCAGCTCTAAAATCTCAGGATAGAATGACTACAGAAGGCTCAATCTACTAGAGATATGAGCTTATGGAGACTTATGAAAACAAAAGAAGTGCCAATTTAAAAAAAGAGGACGTGGGGGTGGAATGGGAGTAACAAATCTGCATTTACAAGAGTTATTGATTCAGTTGGACTACATAATCACTGTGGGTCACTTCCAACTGAAATATCCTATTCTATAAATTCACGTTAGGTATTTTATTATGATAAATATATTTTTTAAGTATTTTTATGGGACAGGTGGAAGGAAACCTTACAGTTTCTTTTTCACCTTCATTATAAAAATGGAGCCCTGCTTGTAAATTACAAAAATAAAAGTAAGGCAAAACAGCCAAAATATTTTTAGTCTCAAAAGGCATTGTGTTAGAAAAACAGAATTGTACTGGAATTGTTTGTTGTGCTTTATAAACAGGTTAAAGACAAAACAGATGATGCATTTATCTAGTAATGAAAACTGTGCCAAGCTTCATGGGTTAGAGACAGATGTCATACTTGCAGGAGCTGGAAATCACCCCAACTAAAACATGGCTCTCAGTAATCATTACTATACCACCATCTGACTATCACTGAAGTTGATACTGTTTATATCCCATAAATCCATTGCTCAAAGTGTCCATTTACCCAAGTTTTAGTTGTTTTCAATGCAGCAACCATAGGCAGAAATTTAGAAAAAGCGTACTTGAAAGGGAAAAGAAAAAAAAAAAACAAGCAGCATAATGAAAAAGCAAGTTAGTTTTGTGTTACTCCTAGGCTGGTATAATATTCCAGGGTTTGTTTTTTTAAAATAATAAAATCCTTGAGTACTTCAGAAGAATGCAGTTTACTTTAATACCAGGCACACCTTCAAGTGAAATCAGATTGCTGAAGTATCATATTAACTCATCAATTATTACATGCAGTTAAAAGTTGGAAAGTGCAGTTCCAGCTAGCGATAGGAAGGAAGAAGATCCAACTGCGGCTCTCTCCTCAAACCCACTGTCTCCACCAAGCAGATGTTAAGTTTGCTTACAGCTTACAGAAGCACTGCTGTAGTAAAACCTACATTTCTATGGGTCAAAAGCAGGAAACATTTAGGAGGAATTAACTCCATTTTTCAAATAATTAATCTATTAACATTTTGGTGGGGTATTTTATAGGAGGACCCTCAAAAGCAAGATCCTGTAATCACAGAATTACCAAGGCTGGAAAAGAATAATCAACTTATAGTTTCAACAATGGGTATTAAAGAAAGAGCTAACCATGTAAGTGATCAGCTGCACATATAAAGATGAGAAAACATCATTTCATGATATGCAGAACAAACATTGCTTTTCCATTATGTCTTTAAAAGAATGTCAACAACAAGCACAGAGACAAATAGGCAATTAAAAAAGCATACGTATTTATAAAAAATAAATAAAAATTACCACAGAACTGAGGTCACTCTAATGGGAAAATAAAAAAGAACACATTAGAGAAATTAGGGTTAAATGTTAAAGAAAAAGGAAGCTAACTTTCAAACAAAATGCATTTCTGCATTTTTTTGCACCATCTAAACAAGATAGCATTAGTAAGACAGGAACATAAATGAAAATGGATGCAAACAAAGATGAGAACTACATTTCTAGTAAGTTCTAGCAAGTATGGTTATATGGTTTACTAGCTTTGCTTCAGAACCAATCCAAAGTACAGCCTAAGGCACATAAGTCAGAGGTAAGATATGGCAGAACAAACTGACCCCCCAAAGAGAGGTTTTGAGCAAGTTTAAAGTTTGCCCTAAATTTAAATCCATGCAATGGGTTGTATATGAAATGGCAAAACAGTCCTTGTCATTTTGCAGTTAATGTGCAGTATACATGTATATAGGGTCTGAAAATAAAAATAATGTGGTAATATGTTCTACTAGCAAAATGACAATACTGCAGCTGATAACAAAATTTGGTATAACATAACCAGGAAAAACTCTCTTTTGAATATCCATCACTCCAGAAACTCAACTTTAATTGCAAACTTTGTTTTCTTAAGTGTCTGCATGTTTGTCTCCCTGTGCATGTTTGCAGGAGCAGACCTTTTACGGAACCTTCTCCAAGACACACCAAAGCCAGTGACAGACTTCCTACACATTAGGCAATTCAGTCTCAGGATTACAGCAGGTTAGGGTGACAGGGCGTGCATTCTATGTGCAAATTTCAGTGATCAACTTGATTTGGATGCTACTGGATTATGAGCAACAAGCAAGAAAATTAAGGTTCAGCATAATTTCTTGACTTAGAAAAAATTAAATTATGGATTACAATTTCTAGTAGAAAATAATTTTAGTGACAGACTTTATGAATAGATAACATTACATCTGTAACATTACTGGTAACAGTGTAACTCGTTACTCCATCTTTAAAGACCTTTAGTTCACTAATAACTGCCATAAACCAATTATTTTTTTTTTCCTTGCTCGCAAGGAACACAGTGTCTTAACTTTCAGGATTAAGGTCTTGGCACTTTTGACAGCAATGTAGTATCACATACAACATCGAACCAAGGACTTATTTCTAGGTTTTTAAATTTTGACTTCTGTAGTCACAACACATAGCAGCACTTTATGTACTTTCAGAAATGAAATATGAATGGGCCTGTATCAGTTTGCTAGGAAAATGAAAATTGCTCAGCTAATATAATCCAAAATATTAAAATAAATTGTTTTTCAGTTAATCATATGGATACTACTGTAATTGCAGTTGCATAGATTCCTGAAAAGGAAGAACAAAAGCCATCAAAGTAGCCTTTTATAGCCTTTACAGGAGGAGAAAAAACTAAACCCAAAATGCTTCTCACAGGTCTTTATGATAAGAAATTGGTGGCTAATGGAGGAATCAAGTTTACAAAGTCCCTTATCAACGCCAGTAAGTAAAACAATTTTGTAAAAAAAGAACACTTTTAACCTATATCAAGTTTGCCCAGAATTTACCTTAAAGACCATTTTATTTTCCATTTGTTATGAAGTGTTTCAGCACAACATAAAAATTATATTTAATGTACAGAAAGAGAGTAACATTTAATTTATCCATCCCTTTTTCCCCTACCATGTATTTTCTACCTGAAATAGTAGTATAATCAATGCACAAAATGGTGCTTTATTTTGTTCCCTGAGGAATTACTTAGGTTTTTTTGGATTATTTTTATTCTCAAATCACAGCAGGAAAAATTTCCAGAATTTCCCATTTACAGATAATGTAAGTTCCATATAGCACTTAACCGGTGGTACATGCTTGATACTGATTTATTCTCCCTCTATATAAATTACATGCTGTGTATTAAATTTCTCATAATTTATATACTATTCATTCACAGCAGAAAGAAACATCTTCATGAAAAGTTTCCTGCTCAACTCTGAACGAGACAGATCTTTGCACCTGGAATCCCCATTTGTAGAGCAGAAACTCTTTATCTATTATTTTCCCCTTCTATTTTATCTATTGATACTGTCAGGAAGGGAAATAAAGATACCTTTCACACCTCTACAGCCATCATCTTGTATGATGAACCCAAGGTGTGACTAAGATAGAAGTAAATAATTAGAACAATAGATTTGGAGAATCCCTGCTTTCTAAATGCTTGACAAGCACATTAGCTGCTTCATTAGGAACAAGCAGGAGAGCAAAATGTTTTCTACTTGCAAAACCACAAGTTATTTTTCAAATTGCCAAAATTACATATATTTTCTTCTCACAGTGACACTGGTCTTTTTCTCTCATCTACTATTCCCTGCAATATAAACACCTACAACTTCACTCTGCCTTTTAAACTATTACAAACATACTGTTTAGGAATACTAATGAAGGTTTTCAACCAAATTATTAGCAGTGTCGTAGAACAGGTTTCAGTGGTTATGGAAAAAAATTAGTATCATGGAAGCTCTCAAAATACTTTGTAAAATTTAGTCTGACCTGCATTCCTCACTATCACAAAACATGTAGACGATAACGACAGAAACAAATGTACTGACTTTCTATGTAATAAGATACTGTGGAAGTTTATACCCTGCAACAGACCTACAAAATACACATATCCACAGTAGTGCCTACAAACAAAAAGAATGCTTATGTCATTTGTAACACTTGCCACTATTTGTGTCATTTTTCAGTTAAAATTCTTCCCATTAATATCCACAGCCTCAGTATGTCCAAATAAATACACAAGGCATATATACTGTCACTTAGTTTTGAAACACTGTGTATAACTGCCACAAACCTAGAAATTAAATTACTGAACAGAGAAGTCACATTTATATTGAAGAAACTCAAATTTCCCCAATCTGGTAAATCATTACCTGTTTTGTGAACAATTAATCTCCAGTACAGTAAATACTCTATCAGCCTAAATATGCAAGCAATAACTGAAAGTACTTGAGCTCCTGGGAAAGCAGGAAATATGCAAAATTGTAAGTCAGTTGCTTTTATGTCCCAACATGTCTGCCTTAGTTACCATCTCTTCACCCACTTTATCAAAAGTATATCTATTCTTAAACTAATTCATATAAACCCAACACTGAATATATCCCTTTAGAACTTATCTTTCTGAGAGACAGGTGTACTTAAGAAGCTTTCTGAATTTCATATAACCACCTAATGTGAATTAATAAACCCAGCACACCAAAACAAACCCAAACACACACTGCTCTCACTTACCTCAGCATTGTAGAACTTGGTTTTCACATCTAGTGGTTTAAGAACCTGAATGAAATTTAAAAAAGACAGATTGACAACTGGTTTCTCAAACATCTTCAGCATAAACTGTTTATAAGCGCTAGTATCTTTTACAAAAGTGCCATTTTTCTGTTTCATCTCATACAGAACAGGTGTAATGGAATATAACACAAACAACTAAGCTAAAACTTCCTAATTCTGAGTATATACTTGCTGCTGCTTCTTTCCAAACTTGACTAAACAGTTTTCTCAGATGGAAAACAAATACCTGTCCACTTAAGCACTGGTGTCTTATGAAACCAGACAAATTCAGTGCATTAAGTCAATCTATCTCTTTAAAATAACATTACATCCATTTGTATCCTGAAGTGGTCTGCACTTGCTTTCAAGAATGAGCAAGAACCCCGTTATGTTTACAAGCTTTTCACCACTCTGCAGCAAACAGAAGCTGCCAAGGGCTTCTCTAAAATTAAATTGAGAACTACTCATGTGATTAGCTTAAGCAACAAAACACTACTGGGCTTAACTTCCTTCTTGAAAATGCAACTGATACAAGAAATAAAAACCCCAATAAATTTAATAGCATGAAATTAAATCAGCAAAATAAAACAATCTCATTATACAAAAGGTGGTAAGAGTGTTGGTTCTTAGGTGCTCGAATTTTGTGCATAAAGCCACTACAGTTAGCATCCTCAAATATGACATGGATATACACTAATGTAATTGAAAGAAATAGTATTTTATTTTACTTGTAAGGAAACAGATTATCTTGTTGAAGACACCTATTTCTGTTTACACAGAAAAACTTATTTTGTTTACATGTAAGTGTACCACATCCTGAGAGATCCCTGAAGTTTCAAGTCGTGAACAAATTTTTTAACCCTGAAAAATTCAGGCTTAAAAAGTAGTCTGCACAGACATTTTTGCATTATAACAGACATAATGTTCAAATCTTTCAACTAATCACAACTCTCTCTCCATTCAGAAAAAAAAGTCAGAATTTTAATTCGTGTTTGTCAGTTAAGTACTTTTTTCAGCCAGACATTTTGCTTTGGTAAGCTTATTAATTTCCCTAGTGCTCTTGTTTTCTTTCTATTCCTGATAAACAAAGTCTTTCCATTCATTCCATTAGATTTCAAGGGCATTCCAGTAAAAATACCATTATTGTAACATTCACAACCCTCCTGAAAAATCAAACAACCAAATCCTAGAAAGAATATATAAACATAATGGTGTTAATTACTCAGAGAAATCTTTGGAACAAAAGGCAGCATTGAACAATATTAAACTACGTATAATGGTTGAAAAATAATCTTTTAAAACCAACTGTAACACCAATTCAACATAAAAGGTCCTAGAAAACATAACTGAAAAAGCTGAGAATCTGTTGAACAGAAAATGTGGAGTTTTGTTCTAAAACAGCTGGTGGCCCCTTGATCACTAACAGCCATCATTTTCTATTGTAAAAAAGTTGATTCAGTTTTCTGTAAAGCTTCTTTTTGCTGGTTCTCCAGTTTTCTAGTAGGTGCCTCCATGTCAAAAACTAAAATTGCTCAGTAACTGTTTTTCTCATAATGAATCAGAGAGAATTTCTAGAATGGTGTATTTGAGAAGCTATTTGCTTCCTTCTTCAAAGAAAGAACTTAGAATTTGACAAGATAGCTGTCCTTAGCTACTTTGACATCACAGTTGCTTGTGTTGGAATCAGTTAACAACCACAGAAATTACAATATGCATGCAGATGCCTGAAAAATGCACAAGTAAGTTTCCATATCAAATGTAAAGGAGATAAATTGACATACTGAACAAGGCTCTGGCAAAAACAAAATTAGGGAAGGGAGAGAAGACAAGAACTGGAAGCTTGCAGATACATAGATTAGGCACCAGAGAAAGCCTAGAGAGGACAGAGAATGGAGAAACTGAAAGGGAAACAGTTTCACAAGGAGAGCAAGACAAAACACACAAAGATGGAGAAGCAGCTTCAGTAAAAATGAAGAAACACTGCAGAGTTTCTGGGTTCAGAAAGTGTAACACAAAAATTGATACAGAATGATCTTGGATTGTCTGGAAACCCTTTTGACTAATGAAGAGTTGCTACTTCAGGGCCCACAAGTAGCCACAAGGCCCCAACAGCACTCTGGTGTTCTGTGTCTGTAGCATATGACAATTTAGCTTTCTAAAGACTGAAATGCTTTTTTCTGAAGCATCCATATGGAACAAAATAAAAAACCTGCAACTTATAGAAGAAGTCTCAATTATGTAATGCTCCTGTATTACCAGACACTGTGCGAGTATCTAAAAGTATATTCAGTAAAGCATGTAACCTAATTCTCCATTCTATGGGAAAGACACCAGAGTTATCCAAGTTTCTCTAAAATATAAACATCCATTAAATATATGGTAAAACAGATTCTTTCCTGCCAGAACCAGCCCACAGTTAATAGTAATCTACTGCTTTCCTTAACCTTAATTTCAATAATCTTAATTATTGAAATTTGTGCTGTGTAACAAATAGTTTCAACTCCTATAAATTACTTCTGTAGATATTAGTCAGGTATAACACTTTAAATTTCTTTGCTTACGTTCCTTTAAAAAACAAACCACTAAGTTCCACTTTAAAAAAAGATTACACACACTAAAATAAAAATCAGAATTTTAAAATCTAAACTCAAAGGTTAGATGTGTCAAAGTCAGGAGGAACACTTACTCTGTTTAAAAATAAAGCTGGCTGCTATAAAAGGGTGTTTTGTTTAAAAGTAGATTTTTTCTTTCTCAATAAATGAATAAAAATTGCAAGATGTAATATTTTTTCTGAAATCTTAGAATCATCCTTTTTGGAAAAGGACCTTGAAGATCATCAAGTTCAACCATAACCTAAAGCCACCAAACATAACCTAATCCATCCATTCAGCGCTTAAATCATGTCACTGAGCACTATATCTATATTTCTTTTAAATACTTCCAGGGATGGTGACTCCACCACCTCTCTGGGCAGCCTGTTCCAGTGCCTCACCACTCTTTCAGTAAAGAAATTCTTTCTAATATCCAGTCTAAAGCTCCCTTGGCACAACTCCAGGCCATTTCTTCTTGTCCCGTCAATACTCACTTGTGAGAAGATGCCAACTTCCACCTCTCTAAAACCTCCTTTCAGGTAGTTGCAGAGAGCAACGAGGTCTCCCCTCAGCCTCCTCTTCTTCAAACTAAACAATCCTAGTTCCCTCAGTCTCTCCTCACAGGACTTGTTCTCCAGACCTTTTAACAGCTTGGTAGCTCTTCTCTGGATGTGCTTCAGCAGCTCTACATTCTTCTTGTAGTGAGGGGCCCAGGACTGGACACAGTACTCAAGGTGTAACCTCACCAATGCTGAGTACAGGGGCACAATCACCTCTCTTCTCCTTCTGGCCACACTCTTCCTGATGCAGGCCAGGATGGCACTGGCCTTGTTGGCTACCTGGGCACACTGCTGGCTCACCTTATGTCGGCTGTCAGCCAGCACCCCAGGTCCTTGTCCACCATGGAGCTTTCCAATCACTCTTCCCCAAGCCTGGGGGCTTTGCATTGGGTTGTTGTGACCAAAGTGCAGGACCCAGCACTTGGCCTCGTTGAACCTCAAACAACTGGCCTCAGCCCATCGGTCCAGTCCGTCCAGGTCTCTCTCATTGCCTCAAGCAAACCAACACGTCCACCCAGCTTAGTGTCATCTGCAAACTTACTTAGAAAGCACTCAGTTCCCTCATCTAAGTAATTAATAAAGATATTGAAAAAGACAGGACCCAAAACTGAGCCCTGGGTGACACCAGTGGTGACCAGCCACCAGCTGGATCCAACAATGTTTAACTGCATGATAATTAGAAACCATCAGTTCATATCAAATTTGAAGTAACTAGCTTTACTGGCTCATTTTCAAAAGTAAAACAGATTTTTAGTATGCAAAAGTGCTTTTGAAGTATCAAATGTTTTAAAATGGGTTTTCCGGATTCATCCACTTATTAGAAGTGGAGTAGAATGCTTTATGCAATACCTGGAATTTGAAGAACTTTCTGAAATACATCTTCTCTCCCGTCTGTGTAGTGTAACTTACTGCACAAACTAAGCTGAAAGAAACGATAAAAAAAATAAATTAATTTTGTGCCTGTATTGAAGCACAGCAGAAGAGCATTCATGTGCTGCATTTTCGTTTAAACCCATTTATTCATAGATAAATTAAAACCTTACATATGCGTGCCAATCTCCTTTACTTCATGATGGATCACATCATCAATGCAGCAGTCAGGTTTAAGTTCTGCCACTGCAGCACTAGAGGCTGAAAGGTTCAAGCGCTGAGAACTTGTCTGAAGATCAGCCTGTAGCCAGAAAAACAAAGTATTGTTTAGAACTGCAGCTACTTAAAACCATCTACAGAAAAATAACTTCTGTTATGAAGTACAAGGTTTCACTGACCATTTTGTGCCCTACATGTTTTTATACATGGAATATAACTAAAATACACTAAGGTTATGAGATATTTGTCAAAGCTAAGGACAAGTTTTAAAATATAAATGGTCCAGTTGTTTAACATGCAGATTAAAAAAAAACCAACAAACCTACTTTTTATATTGAGTTCCAGAATGACTTATGGATTTTCTGTGTTCAATGTATTATTTGTTCAGCAGAAAATGCAAAAAAAGCCCCAAACCCAAGCCCCAAGAAACAATGCACTAGAAAAGAGCTCATTCAGAATATAAGCAAAATGCAAGTCAATGCATTACAGAGACTTGGTTTGATCACCTCACTGAAAGTGCAAGTAAAATTTTTTAGCTTTGGAAGTTTTGCTACACTAATTCCCCAGAGACTCTTTATAACATACTCCTTTTTAAATATTATGCTCGCAGTTTTTCAATTTAAACTTTAAAGATCTTTATCATAATTTCTGTTTTTGTGTCTGTTTCAAATTTCCAGCTATATTTTCTGGATTGAAAATCATGACAAGATATTTCAAGTTTACATATTAGCATTAAACATATAAGATATTGTCAGAAACTTTTTCTTTTTTAATAAATCCAGTTAGTAGATTTAGCTTCACATACCTTCACCAGTATATCCTTGACAACTTGATTACTATCATTGTGTACACTAATGTAACTGGAAAACGTCTCTCCCAAAAATATATTCCTGTGTTCAATAAAAAATTTAAACACCTTTAGTAGAATTTATTTTAAAAGAAATACAGAACATTTCACTAAAACCATTTAAAATGATAACTAATATATATACACACACACATACACATATTTGCCAGATTGAATCCTACAAGTATGTTGGCATCCTCACACCTATACTTCTAAATAACATCCTTCTAACACAAACAACTTCAAAAGAAAACAAGCAAATGATTTTTTTTTTTCTACATAAAAATCCAAGAAGACTAAGATGGCCTACAGTACCCACAAAAATCACTGTAGTAAAGTCTGTTAATATAAGATGTGGTTTATAGTATTGCATTACATTAGAAATTCAACTACAGCTGCAGCTTTCTTTCTGTTTCGAATTCTTATTACATTCAGTCAGGCAAAATAGAATCATACAGTCAGAGTGCTCAGAGTTGGAAGGGACCTCTGAAGATGATCTAGTCCGATCCCCTGATCATACAGGAACATATCTAGATGGGTTCTGAATGTCTCCAGAGAATAAGACTCCACAAACTCTCTGGGCAGCCTGTTCCAGTGTTGTTACCCTCACAGTAAATATTGTTTTCCTTATGCTTAACTTGAATCTCTTATGCTCCAACTTGTGTCCTTTGCCCCTTGTCCTGCCATTGGACACCGGAAAAGAGTCTGGCCCCATCCTCCTGACCCCTGCCGTTTAGATATTTATAAACGTTTATGAGATCCCCCTTCAGTCTCCTCTTCTCCAGGCTGAACAGAACCAGCTCACTCACCTTTCCTCATAGGGCAGATGCTTCGTTCCTCTAATCATCTTTGTGGGCCTGTGCTGAAATCTTTCCAGTAGATCCTTACCTTTTATCAACCGGGGAGCCCAGGACTGGACACAGTATTCCAGACGCAGCCTCACCAGGGCAGAGTAGAGGGGAAGGATAGCCTCCTTTCACCTGCTGGCCATGCTCTTCTTAATGCACCCCAGGATGCCACTGGCCTTCTTGGCCACAAGGGCACATTGTTGGCTCATGTTCAGCTTGGTGTCCACCAGGACCCCCAGGTCTTAATCCCCAGAGTTACTCTCCAGCAGGTCAGCCCCCAACATGTACTGATCCATGGGGTTGTTCCTCCCCAGGTGCAGGAGTCTACACATGCCTTTGTTGAATTTCATTAGGTTCCTCTCTGCCTAGCTCTCCAGGTCACACTGGATGGCAGCACAAGCCCTCTGGAATGTCAGCCACTCCTCCCAGTTTTGTATCATCAGTGAATCTGCTAATAGTGTACTCTGTCCCTTCATCCAGGTCATCAATTAATAGACCGAATGGGGTGGACCTAATATTGACCCCTGCGGGACCCCAGTAGCCATAGGTCTCCAACTGGACTCTGCCCCACTTACCACAACACTCTGAGCTCTCTCCTTCAACCAGTTCCCAATCCACTTCACTGCCCTATCATCCAATCCACAATTCTTGAGTTTCGCTGTGAGGATGCTGTGGGAGGCTGTGTCAGAAGCCTTTCTGAACTAAGGGTAGACTATATCCACTGCCCTTCTCTCATCTATCCACCCAATTATAACACCATAGAAGGCTATCAGATTAATCAAGCATGACTTCCCCTTGGTGAATCCATGCTGACTGCTCCTGATGACCATGACGGCACCAAGAACAAGCTGTTCCATCACCTTTCCAGGGATGAAGGTGAGGCTGACCAATCTGTAGTTACCTGGGTCCTCTATCTTGCCCCTTCTGAAGGCTGGAGTGACACTGGCTTTCCTCCAGTTCCTCAGGCACCTCTCTTGTTCCCCAGGACTTTTCAACATGATGGAGAGCAGCCTTGCAATATCTTCTGCTAGCTCCCTCAGAGCCTAAGAGTTCATCCCATCAGGGCCCACGGATCTGTGGATGTCCAGTTTACTTACCTGGTCTCTAACCCAATCCTTTTCAACCAGGGCAAAGTCTTCCTTTTGCCTGACTTCCCCTGAGGTCTCAAAGGTCTGGGACTCCTTAGTGTTAGCCTTAGCAGTGAAGACCAAAGCAAAGGAAGCATTCAGTAACTCTGCCTTCTCCAAATCCTTCATCACCTGGGCACTCACTTTGTCCAACAGTGGGCCCATGAGTCCTCTAGTCTTCCTTTTGCCTCCAATGTACTGAGAGAAGGCTTTTTTGTTGTCCTTGACCTCCCTAGCCAGTTTTAATTCTAAGGAAGCCTTAGATTTCCTCGTTGCATCCCTACATCCTCCGACAACATTCTTGTACTCCTTCCAGTGGTCAGCCTCTCTTCTGTGATCTATCTTTCTTCCACTTCAGGTTGTTCAGTACCTCCCTGCTTAAAAATGCAGTTCTTCTGGCTATTACTTGATGGCTTACTCTTTGGCATGCTCCAGTCTTGAGCACGGAGGAAACGGTGCTACATCAGGTAGCGCACATTTATGTATTATGTCACATTAAAAATCAAGGCACAGATGATTTTTAAAACAGTTGATTATCTCACTGCACAACAATGATGTTTAAAAAGAAAGAACAGTAATAAAACACATTATCCTTAAATGATTCCTAAACTTTGTGTGTAAAATAATTGAGTTAAAATAATTGAGTTAAAATAATTGTGAGTTAAAATAATTCACTCTTACCCAAAATTCTGAGGCAAAGTCAGCATTTCTCCTAGCATCAATATTTCTGCTCCTTTTACAGTAGAAGGATCATCTTTCATGAGCTGGTTAAATAGATTACCTGTAGAAATATCAAATTGCTCATATCTAAATATTTGCAAAATCTAAAGAGTTCTCTATATTTAAGTTATGACAAAATTACTTTTTTTAGACATACTTATTTTACATCTAACTTGTTTAGGGATGAAGTATGTATCTACAGGCCTGCCTAAGAATTGTAGCTTATTTCCAGGCACTTGTATCCAATAAATCATAAGGTACTGAAGGGTTCAATCCCACAGGCATTGCTCAAATTAACATTAAACTTTAAGGGAAATTCTGCCCAAGTAAAGCATGTTACGTAACAGCACTAATCAACCCTACATATTTTCTTCCCTTGCTTACTTTGTATTTCCACACCATTATCTTTTTTAGAATATATGTTTTGCCCCTTTCTCATACCTGACTTATAGACTGCTACTATTACTGGGGGACCAAGGATTTCCAACTGATAACTGTACAACAGATGTAACACAAGTCAAAAGATTCTTGGAAAATAATTTTCCATAGAATATTCAGGTGTCGGTTCTAATTACCCAGGGATTTTCTCCAGATAGGACACTAAACTTTTTACAATTGCACACTTCTCTCTCACGATTGCCTTCCATCTTAATTGCTCATTCTTTGAGGTCACATGTTTGCAATATTTGCAGACTTTCAAAGCTGTAGGTCAAAAGTTTTAGAGTACACCTTAGTATTTTCCTATAGCCATGACCAAACTTAAAATATAGTGCTGTTTCAGATAACTATCTATGGGAAGTCATAAGAATCCTCCGACCTCTAGGTCTCAGATGCTCACATTATTAACCAGGTAATACGTACATAATAGTAGAAAAGGCATACCTGGCAAATCTCTTTCTTCACAAGTCACCGGAATATTAGTGAATAAAGTAGGTTTGGTTAGCCTCATCACTGCAAAAATCAGAAAATAAGCCATTGGTCAATGAAACAAGTATTTTAAAATTATTTTTTTAAGCATAATCTTTTTTCTTGCGCTCTTCCCATGAAAAAAAAAAACCAAACCAACAAATCTTAGCCTGAAAAAGGGTAACACCATTTTAGATAACCTGGCCTTTTTCCATATAAAAATTTTCCTGCTACACTGAAATCCAAGAGCACCAGTGATGCCATTGCTCCCTCTTTCTGCATTCCTCCGGTGCACTAACATCTACTGCTTAGTTTTATATGCTAAAGGTCTTATACCTGTTTCAGTATTAGGTGCTTTGTGGACTTCAGCAGAAGCCTACCAGCTTGGGGTTTTTTGTGGACTCTTCCACACTAAGTGAGTCTAGTTGCTCTAGTTCTGTGAGTCTAGTTGCTCTAGAATGGGACACAATGACTACTAGTACAGAGCCTTTCAAACTGCAGGCTATAAGGAATTGTATTTACATGCTAATCTCCAAAGCATACACAAGATAGATCTACAAGTCCACATTATTTCTACAATTGCTTTTCCTTGTAGTCACAAATTTTAAATTTGAATCAGCAAAATCATCACAAAAACCACAAGCACACAAAAAAACCCCACGTTGTCAATACTGACAAAAGCAAAATAATTGAGATCGTGGTATAAAAAACTTCTACTTCCATAAAGTGGTATTTTCAAAGGCAATTTTAACTCTGAATACTCCAAATAACAAGTTTTTTATTTGTAGGACAGATTTAAGATGCTGCTTCTTAAAATAATTTCTCCCTATCCATATAAACCAATGGCCCTAATCTTGCATATAGCTTCTTATGAAAACATTCACATAAAGCAAACTTGAGCATTTTTAACCTTAGGTGTTGAGCTGAATATGTAAAAATCACTGACTTGCTTTTCTTCAAAACTTGACAAACATAAACCTGTATAACTTCTGAAAACTAAAAATTAAAAAATAAAAGTATTTATCTTGACTGCAGTAAGTTAATCAGTATCCTTGCACTGATATATGCAATGTGCTTTTATCTTTATTGTACCTTTGTACATCTTATATGCTCAGTCAGCATTCACTATTTCCAGTTCTATAAAATATTCAATTACTTCGATACACTGCAGTTGGCTGTACTGGTTCACAATAATTTACACTACCATCCAGCAGATCCAGGCAAGTTTTCACATTAAAAATGTAATAAATTCTCTTTGTTAGGGTGAAAAGTTAAAAAAAAATACCTCTGAAGGCTATAACCATGACATAAACAAAAACCCTGAAACAGATTAAACACAGTAAATGGAAAACCAGATTCCACATTAAAAATTAAAAAGTTAAATACCGAATTATATATCGAATCATATAGTAGGATTATAGAATGGTTTGGGCAGGAAAGGACCTTACAGATCATCCAGTTCCAACCCCTCCGCATGGGCAGGGACACTTCCCAGTAGAACAGGTTGCTTAGAGCCCCATCCAACCTGCCCTTGAACACTTCCACAGATGGGGCAACCACAACATCCCTGGACAACCTGTTCCAGTGTCTCAACACCCTCACACTAAAGAATTTCTTCCTAATGTCTAACATAAATCTGCACTCTTCCAGCTCCAAGCCATTACCCTTCTTCCTACCACTACACACTCTGATAAAATGTCCCTCCCCAGCTTTTCTGTAGGCCCCTTCAGGCACTGGAAGGCTGCTGTAAGGTCTCCCTGCAACACACATGCATATAAACTAAGTATTCCTTGAACAGTTCAAAATGAAAGTCTGGATTTCAACTTTTACATTGGTGCTACCCAATACTGTAGTAGTCCTGTGGAGAAGCCAAATGTGGTGCTCACTTGTTATTGCACAACAGTTATCCAGCTGAGGTGCTCACAGCTAGCAATGCACATAATCATCATTTGTGTACCAGCTGAACCAAAGCGGCAGAAAACTGAAAGCTGCCACTGAACAGTGACACAGATTTCTCCTTCTCTTTAGTAGGGTGTTTGTTTAGCTCTTTTGTCTGTATATTAAATGAATATAGCAGAACTGTATTAGGCAGTTGCTTAATTTTACTCAAATCTACAGTAAGCCCATAAACACTAGAATTTGTTGACTGTTTCTAAAAGAACAGTTACAGATCAAGTTTAGTCATGCTTAAGACAATAAATAGATCGTGGAATGAAGTAGAAACAAAAAAAAATTATAAGATGTAATAGGACTACTAAATTAGTATTATAAAATAGTGTATCTTTGCAGGACAACCTCTCATCTCTTTTCTTCTAAGATCATAGATAAAAAATAAAATGTTAAAAAAACCTCAAATCATGCTGCATTCTACTCCATTACATCTTAAAAATGCTGATGCACAAAGAAACTTTGATAATATTAGTGTTAAACTCAGAATAATAATTTCAGTGAAATAACTTGGCTATATAAACTTCAAAACTAGTAACGACCCTCAGTTAGGCAGCATTTCACAACAATTTTACTATGTGGTAATACTAAGTGTCACAAGCACCCCAAATGTCAATATAAGATCCACTTAACAGTCAAAGTTTAGAAATACATGTCAATGATCCAAACTGAGCCATACCCTTAATTTGAAGCTAAAAAAGATAAGTCTATAATAAAATACAATTATATCATATAATAAAAAGAAAAATATAAGAAAAAGCCCAAGAGGGTTTAATTGGGTTTTACATAGAAGGATCTCCAATATGCTTATGTGCACCTCAATTTTGTCAGTGCTAATGACAATCTAATAAATTAGAAATACCATTCACTTATTTTCCCCATTTTCTAGATTCCACAGGTCCTGACCTCCCCCTACAGCAAAATTACCTACAATTAGTAGGGCTGCCTAAGAGGAATACATACCCTTACAGTCATATGGATCCCAGTTTAACAGTCCTACTGACTCTCCAAACAGTGAGCTGACCAGGGACACAGTGACCTGGAAACACTTTATTCTTTCAAGTGACAAAAGGTCATGCTGAACTCAGCCTTTTAGTATCATAAAACACATTAACATCCTTAGAGATCTTCATCTTTCACAATGACAACAAGAAGGTTTACAGACAGAAGTCAGATTTCTTAATTTCTTGATGTGAAGCTCAAAGTTAGTGCTTTCTTGTTCTCCAATATAGAGACAAAAGACCAGAAACATCAGGAAACAAAAAATAATCTTATTTCCAAAGCCATAAATGAGAAAATGCTAATTTGTTGTTTTTCAGCACACAACTTCCACTGAAAATTTCAGTAGTATTTCTGAGAAAATATGGAATTAACCTTACTAGGACAGTGTATATATGGAATAGAGTAAGTTTGTATTTCATGCAAGGGTTACACCTTCATTAAAAAAAAATAAATCAAAACACACGCTGCTTTCATGAAATAATCAGATCTTGACAGTCTCATTGTTAGATATAATTACAGATCTTTACAGCTATTAGAACAACTCACTTAAAAATATTTTTCCCTTCACCTGATTTCAAAGAAGCACAGTAAGGATGTACTTAGCATAAATTTTATTATCTGACACAGCTTGCCACAATTCTCTGGAAATTTTATTTATCATCTTCTTCCTTTAGACCACCCAGACAAAGAAAAGCTACAAAATGCAGTACTAAGTCAAACAGAAACTTAATAATCCTAATAGAACTACTCACAAGTCTCCTGGCAAAACCAAGTAACATAAATATACTATTACAGATAAAAAACTGTAGCCAAGTAATATTGTTGTTGTTCTAAATTATATATATTCTAAGTTGCTTAAAAACTCCAGTACTTCAGACAACAATCTGATTATGAAACTCTCGCAATTATAAACTAAATATAATTCCAAATTTATGTACAGTCAAATTCATTTTATCAGTAAGGCTCAGCTTTTCCCTAAGAACATTTCTAACATATTCACAGTATAATATATCACAGAAAACCCATATCTCTCCCACAGATCTTTGGATAGTAGCATTGCAAGATGGCAATTCATTCTGCTTGATAAGTCTATACAATTTTATCCAGATGTCCTCCAAATTTTGATTATCACAAACAGACTGTTCGATTGTCCACTTTGCTCTATAAAGTGCATGCAGTTTTAGTCTTTCCAAATTATTTTGCAGCTCTTGAGATAAAGGAAGAATCTTTTCTTTAAGCTTAGGGCTAGAGAGAGAAGCACTCCAAGACCTTTTCAATTTTTGTTTTCCATTAGGTGGTGATTCTCCTTGATTCTCCAAGTTACTTGGTCTGCAAACAGTTTGTTCTCGGATTAAAGTCTGCCCATGTTTCATGTTAGACTGAAACTCAAGGAGATTTTTTGTGCAGTCATAATCAGGAGGTCCTGTAACATATTCTGAAGGTGCAGAAAGTTGTTTCAATTCTTCTGCTTCCTCACAAGAAATAACAGGTGGCTGCTTTTTTGGTTTGAGGGGAAATCTGTATAAATCATTTGGAAACCAGGGTGCAAATCTTGGTAACTGACGAATGGGAAAGTCCTTCACTGCTGCTTCTGCAAATTCCTGCAGTTTTACTAGATCTCTCTGATGTGGTCGATAATGCAAGACCACTTCCATGCTTGTACAGTAGGAATCCAGTTATTCTTAAGAAAAGGAACAGTCTCTTGAGTAGGATTCTCAAATCTAGACTGAAAAATCTTATTTACAAGAATTTCCTTGCCCCGTGCTGCAAAGATCAGTGGAAAACAGGACCTAAAGCAGAAGTATTATAAAAAAAATAAGATACTACCATAGTAAGAAAAACATTGCTAGGATATTTTACGAAAAAGCAGTATGTAGCAAAAATACACAAGATATATATCAGAACACTCTACTATATCCAGGCTGAACATCAGCAACTCTATTCCATTATTACCAGCATAACTTCAGCTCACTGAACATTATCTGTATGCACACAGTTTACTCAGCACTGTCCCTCCCAAGAGCATTCTTTTACTATTAACATATTATACTTCCACCTGTTATCATTCTTGCTACATTGCTGTGATGCATATTAAAATATATACAATTACTACTGCTGCCTATTTTGTCAAATTTATCAGACAAGTTGTTTTTTTTTTAAAGTATTTTCCTCCTACACTGCAACATTTTAAGTCAGGGCATATAAAGAAACTAGAAAGCATGCGCATTACAAAAATGCTTCCTGAAATAGCATTGACTGATACTGCAGTTTTTAGTCACAGGTTAAATTGAAGCTTCATAGGCAAATTAAAGCTTTCTGCTTCCATTTCTCATCAGAACTACACATCTAGTTTTAGTTTCAGAGATTCCCAGCGATACAGGCAGCCATATTTTTAGTCCTTGAGGACCTGATAATTCCTTATTAGTTTTTAGAATCCTCTCAGTCCTTTCAGACTTTATACTTTTATACATTATTGCTTACTTTCGTATAAAGATTGTATTAAATGCGGGGGCAATGAGAGAACTACAAACACTACTACAAAACACAACATATGGTGCACTTCCTTGCTCTTCTGTTTCTTCCTCCCTAATAAGTTTGCAAGGATGTCAGGTCCCCTGCCAAAGGTCAACAATATACAATAATACTAAGACAAACACAATTATTACACTGTCAAGATTTTATTTAAAATAATCACAATGCAAAGAAATCCTGAAACCTTTCTGACATCTTTTGCAAAATCTACAGCATGGACGCTGCACCAAAGAAAGTACAAACCCAAGGATTATACTGGGCTTTTTTGTTACAAAAGCAAAAAGTTCCTTCATAAAACTTTCTCCTTTGAGTGAATTGCTATCAAAATGCATTGTAATGTCAGCTAATGATGTCTTACATCCTCGGATTTTTTAGTTCAGTGTGTGTGCTTACATATATAAAAAAAGGTTGCTTGATTTTTGAACTATGGTTAGCAGATTTTACTGTGACATGCAGACACCATCAAAACCTCTCTCAACGAGTGTTGTAAAACTAGTCAACGAGCAGAAGATGGGACCTGAAATAATCGACACACTCTGCACTACTACTTCCATCTGAACAGCCTTACTGATTGGCAGGAGATTTTAAACCACTATTACTCGCACTTCACAAGCAGCAAAGTTTTTATTAAAATGAAGCAAATAAATAAAACAAAGTTAGGAAAAAATCGAGTAACTGTTGACTAAAGTAAGGGGAAAGTAGATTCAAACCTTTTGGTGTTTCAATTGCTGGCTTACTGGTACCCAGCTGCCAGCTCAAATCATCATACATGGCTTTCTTGATATCTGTATTAATTCTGCAAGGCATGTGAGAGGCAGCCACACGTTTTTCTCACTGCTCCTGAATGCTCCTGAACGCAGGACCTAAGCCCACTAACTAGCTGTGCATTAAGTATGAGCTTAAAGGAGCAAAAACCACTGAGAGGGGTAAAAAAACAAACAAACAAAAGTTTGGACAGTCGAGAAATGGAAGCGTAAATTTTAAACCGAAAATACGTTCTTGCGGCTGCTAAAAGCCTCGAGAAGCACAAGAGCAGCGGCCCCGCGGCCACAGGGCCCTTCCACCTCGTCTGAGGCGGAGGGAAGAAACGGCCTCGCCTCCGGGATGGACACGGTGCTTCAAGCCCGATTCGCGGGCCGGAGCCCGAGCGGCCCGGGCTCCCAGCGGGGCCCAGCCCGGCTGCAGAGGCCCAGGGCAGGCCCGGCACAGACGCTGCGGCCCGGGGGGACGCGCGGGCAGCGCCGGGCCCAGCAGGCCGCGCTGTCGGTA